CCCCAAAACCCCAAAACCCCAAAACCCCAAAACCCCAAAACCCCTTCTAAGAATAAATATATTGGAACACTGAACTAATGCTTATTAAGCTTCCTTTCCTGGTTGAAGATGAATATGCAATTGTGGTTGGCCACCGCAACCACGTTCTCGCTCGGGTGGTAAGCATTGAGAAGAGACTTCTTCTTAAGGTCGGGAGTGCCTTCACCCAATGATGGAATCTTCTTGCCATTGTACTTCCTGACTTTGGAAGAGAGCTTGCCTCTCTTGTTACCGAAGACCGACTCAACTGTCGAGTTGTTGGTTCCTTCGATATCAATAACGTGGGCGTTGTTGTTGTAAGACCCAGTGAGCAAGTAGTTACCACAAGGAGATGCATTCACTTCGAACTTGTCGAAGACGCTTTCATTCTCGTACAGGTCGCAGAGCTTCTTCTCGACATAGTCGGTCACGTTGATGGTCTTGACGTATTTGGCATTGCTTCTGATGTCCCAGAGTTTGACTGAAAGGTAATCTCTAGTCACGAAGTAGTTGTCTTTGTTGGGGAGGAAGGTGGCTGAAGAGATGGAGCTGATGATTTCTGAGAAGAAGTGCTTCTTGGCAGGGTCAATTGTGATTTCGAACTTGGTGGCTCATTTCTCAAAACTAGTGTTTTCTCTCGGATCTCATAAGTGAGCTCATCCTTTTGAAGATGTAAATAGGAACATATCAGAGTTAGATGGATGGAACTCAGCATGAGTGATAACTTCATTTAAGTCATCGATATTTGGAGGCTTGATATCAACAATACTAAATGTCGTCTTTGTATTTTCAATGTTCCAGATATTTACCCTTAAGTCGTCTGCTGACAAGAAATGCTCACCATCTGCTGAAAGAGATACAGAGTTGATGTGATAATTATGAGCATTGCTGAATTCTTTTCTACACATAGCATCCCAGTCTTCTTCCACTACTTCTGATTTAGGAAAGACAATATCTCCTGATTTGGCAGAGAGCTTCTCGCATGACTGATATTTCTTTTTCTTATTGTAAAAAAGTCTCCAAAGCTTTATGGTCTTGTCATTAGCTGAGAGAAGCTGTAGACTGCTACACTTATTATTGATCCATTCAATCGAGTTAATCTTTTCTTCAATCTCTGCTGACTTCAAGTAATCAAATCCAGGCTCATGAGACTGGAACTCAGTGAAGTATTCAAAGTCGCTAACTCTGCTTTTCTTCTTGGATCTTATTCTATTTAAAAACAATGACTCTTCCTCCTTTATCCCCTACACTAAGGAATTCCCCAGTTCTGTCAAACTCTATTGAAGTCAGTACATCATGGTCTGTGATTGAAGCAGGGTCTCTTTCACCAAGTCCATTAGCATACACCCAATTAATAGCAGGGATTCCTGTCATCTTTGTTAAGATTTCTAGTTATTAAAATATAAATAATTTATCAATCTTCACCCCTAAATTCGGGGTTTTGGGGTTTTGGGGTTTTGGGGTTTTGGGGTTTTGGGGTTTTGGGG